CGAGGCGCGGGAGCAATGCCAAGGGTTGCAATCCCATTGCCGGTCCCCGGTCTGGTACGGGGGCAACACTGAGGGTTGCGATCCGTTGCCGGACATGGAAAAAGACAAAAGACAAAAAAAAAAAATTTAAAAACAAAGGGCCGGCCCGGTGGCGCACTGGATAGTGCGCCGCTTGGGAAGTGCGGCGGCGCTCCCGCCCGAGGGTTCGGATCCCACGTACAGACCGGCTCCCACTCACTGGCTGAGCGAGGCGCGGGAGCAATGCCAAGGGTTGCAATCCCATTGCCGGTCCCCGGTCTGGTACGGGGGCAACACTGAGGGTTGCGATCCGTTGCCGGACATGGAAAAAGACAAAAGACAAAAAAAAAAAATTTAAAAACAAAGGGCCGGCCCGGTGGCGCACTGGATAGTGCGCCGCTTGGGAAGTGCGGCGGCGCTCCCGCCCGAGGGTTCGGATCCCACGTACAGACCGGCTCCCACTCACTGGCTGAGCGAGGCGCGGGAGCAATGCCAAGGGTTGCAATCCCATTGCCGGTCCCCGGTCCGGTACGGGGGCAACACTGAGGGTTGCGATCCGTTGCCGGACATGGAAAAAGACAAAAGACAAAAAAAAAAAATTTAAAAACAAAAATAAAAGAATGTATCATCAGGTAATTCAGACTCACGACAATGTGTGGGGTTTGTCAGACATGTACTGTCACAATGCAGCTTGACTGTCTTGCAGACAACCTCAATATTTTTAAACCGGCAGAGGCAGCAGGCCATATGGCTAGGTAAGATCCTATAAATGGAAACACAGAGAATTAAATTAATGGTAAAGGGGTTACTTGAGTAGGTAGAAGAGGCAGGCTAAGGCACCACAGGGCTGTGCAAAAAGAAGTTCATGCGGTGTATGGCGTGGACAGTTGGGTAGGAACCAGATGATGAATTGCTGCTGTTGAATATTGTAAATACGAAGGAAGACAAGAGGTGCCCAGTAGAAAGGTAAGTATGACAGTGGATATACTATACTGAGAATAAAAGCGATAGGGATTAGAATTGGGTGACACTGATCTATAGTCTAATTCAGAAGTATCTCTTCCCGTCTCAGAAGTCTCACTTTGGGATGAGAGTGCACAGGAAGAAGGTAGACTTCCAAGAAGAGTCTGAATAAACCCCTATTCTAGAGTCCCTTTCTCAATTCTTATTGGCTGTGGTAAGTATTAGAAATTACTCTGGGGCCAGCCCAGTGGCGCACTCGGTAGAGTGCGGTGCTTGGGAGCATGGCAGCGCTCCCGCCGAGGGTTCGGATCCCATATACAGACTGGTCTGCCTACTGGTTGAGCGCGGTGTGGGTGCGACACCGAGGGTTGTGATCCCATTACCGGTCATGAAAAAAGACAAAAAGGAAAAAAAAAAAAAGAAATTACTCTGGACATAAAAAATAGCTTAGTTTAAACAAGCATTGTGTGGCTAAACAATAACAGAGATCACATTGGCCAAATCTGGACAATTTGAGTATTCAAAAGAATGACGATGATAAGGTACAACATAATGTGAAGAATACATCAACTCATAATGATAATCAAAGATAAAAGAGTGGGGAGTTCTTCTTTACAGAATAGTGCCAGCTAATAAATGTAAAAGGAATTATAGAAAAGTGTCATTTTGCAACCACCAATATAGTAATTGATTTAGACAAGGATTATCATTGATGCACAGTTGAGTGTAAAGGCATTTGACAGTAGAATCTTTTTTTTTTTGTCCTTTTTTGTGACCGGCCACACCGCGCTCAGCCAG